TACACTCCAAGCTTATTGCCTCCAGCACAGCCCACAAATGGCTTCATGTTTTACTACCAACGTGTCATCTAGGCAAAAGTAGTTAGTGCATATTTCCCAGAGTGAAGGCTTTTTTTGTTAATCTCTGTTACCATAGAGAAAGTCAGGTCTCCTAATAGATGAAAACCTGCAAAGCGAGAATCTCTGGATTCTACTTAAAGGACTCTTCACCCTTCACATGGAGAAACTCTGCAAGCCCCACAGCTACCGTGATGGGAGCCACTCCAGGAGCAGACTGGGAATTATGAAATCCCTTAATCCAGGGGTTGTCAACCTGTGGTCCGTGGACCCTGGGGTCAGGGTCTGCAGACTATGTTTAAGGGGTCCATGAAAGATGACTATGATCAATCAGAAGTATGTGGATACCCACACTTACCATTCAAAGGGGTCTGCACCTCCATTCAAATTTTTTGAAGGGGTCTGCAATGAAAAAAGGGTGAAAACCACTGCCTTAATCCACTGGTGGACACTCCTTTCTCAGTGGTGGGCACCCAGGATATGGGGTCTTGGAAGGAATGGGATCAAGGCACCAAAAATCAAAGCCGAACTGTGCTCATAATAAAAGGTATCATTTGGGAACCAAGAGTTCTAGTTTTTTGTAAGTCTTATAAGTAGGGGAGACACCTAGACTAGAGCGCAGCTTTGGGGAAGTTTTGAAACGCCAGCTGAACTCGGGTTGCATGCTATCAACACCTGGCATGGACACAAAGGAGTCGAATCGTGGTTCTTAACCTGGTATTATCCGTATCAATGGAGTCCCCCCCGAGACCCAACCTGGAGCTCCATGCGAAGCCAAGAGTTGAAGGCTATGAAAAAACATTACAGAATTTCATCTCCGATGCAGAGATGGAGTCGTACGGAAATAACAGCTGCAGAGTTGCTCCTGAAGAAAGATGAAAATCCTTTAGAGGAACATAGAGCTAGAAGAACCGAGCGTGGGACTTCATACAGGTTTTCTACCATCAGGTTTTGCACGAGAGGGAACGCATCCTGCCTTGCCCCGCTGCAGCAACTTCCCAACGAAGGTTTTCTTCCAAGAACAGCTCAGGAATGACTGACCTGAGGCTGAAAGATGCTCTCCTGGGTCATTTTTCCTACCTTTGGCATCTTAAATGGTAGCTGTACTTTATGATATGAGCAACTAAATATTTCCCAGGAACTTAGCGATTGCCCAGTCTGATAGATCGCACCAAGTGCAATAGGTATCAAGGGCAGGCTGCCAATATAAAGACAAGGATGGAGCAAACGTACTAGAGTCTTGCCTCGATCAAGAGATAATCTTCTCTCATTTCACTTTCAGAAGCTAGCACTGCTTCACTTTTGCACGAAGATCAAATACAGATGGGCGGTTGTGAGCTGGGGTTGTACCATACATTTCACGGCGCTGTTTCTGGCCTGTATTGCTTCAAGCTCTGAGATCGCAGGTCACGTGGAAGCAAACCTCTCTGTCCATTATAGTAGTCACGAGAGGTCTAACTAGGCGAGTTCCCCATTTATAGGGAAATGCCATAGTTTTCTTCTATTCATGAGCCTCAAAGCTCATCAACATGCTAAACTGCATCAATATATTTTAAAAGTCAATGCAAAAAGGTCCCGAATATTTTGTTTGAAAGCAGGCTTATGCCAGCTTTAGTCAATTAGGGAGAGATTTAAGCTACAGCCAAGTGTCTACATTAGGGGTGGGCAAAACGCAGCCCGGCGGCCAGATGCAGCCTGCCAGGCTACTCTATCCAGCCTGCAGGGCCCCTAAAAAAAATGTAGAAAATTAATATTAATCTGCCCTGGGCTGCCCGTCATGCTGCCCTCAATGGCTTGCTGAAACTCAGTAAGTGCCCTCTGCCCAAAATAATTGCCCACCCCTGGTCTACACAGCAGTTTGCACTGATTCACCTGGTACAACTGCATGTGCACACGTGTAAACAAGGCTGTATTTCAGGGAATTGTGCTTAAAAAAAAGCTCATCTTTCACAGGAAAAAATTAAAACAAGGTTTCCTCTATAGCAACCAATGCATTTTTACTTTGAACTACCATAGTTATAACTCCAACATCCTTTATTTCTTATGAACTAGCATTTACTCTTGTATGGGACTAAACTAAAACACCATGCTCTTTAAATTTGAGGCCCACATGGTTTTGCACTGGAAACCAAGCTCCATCTCACTTGTCCTCCTAACAAGCATTTGATATATGGGGCTGTTGAACTAGAGCGATGCATGCTGCTAGGCGGTTGTATTAAAAGTTACTGCGTGGGTACAGTGGGCTGTATCAAAATGCCCAAGTGTGTGTGTACAGATATATATAGGGAGAGAACACACACACACACACACACACACACACACACACATATATAGGAGCAAATGTATGTTATAAAATATATACTATATAATATATAATGTACATTTGCTCCAGCAGCAGAAAGCAGTTGGGGCCTCTCAAGAGGTCTCCCGAGTACCTGGGGAACGGGCAAGGAAAGGTGCGCACACTTGGCACCCACCCTGTCCATCTCTATGCCCCCCTCACCAGCTTTTTACCAGCAGCATTCATAGGCAAGTTTCTGACACAAAGTCCTGTGTGACCAGGAAGCACAGCCACCAGCTTTGTCCAGCACCACGTGCTCAAGGAGCAGCTCTAGCACGTCCATTACTCACACTGCTGGAATGACTTACAGAAAGGAAAATAGGTTTGACTCCTACTTCCTACTCCGACACCCTGGAAAACCGGACTGTGCTTCCACCCCCGCTGCATACACACCCCTCTCTCAGCCTTTTACATCTCAGTTATGCTCTGAAGAGCACTGATCACCCTTCGATGACTCCTGAGTCAAGTCAGGGGTGCGCGTGCAAGACTTTGCTGGTGCGGCTAGGCCAACAAAGCACCCCTCATATAGATGCAGCCCCTTCTGGAAAAATGGCTTTTGCCTCTAGAGCTTCATTTCACTCAGATAAGCTCTCCCAGCCAAGTGCTGCTTTGCCAACCTGAGCCCATTGCCCGATTTTTACTGACTTCGTTACCCACCGCTGGCCAAACAGCAGCTGCCTGCAGGGCTGGCTGCGAGGACAGCTGTAGGGTCCTGTCCACACTGAGAAGCTGCCCCTAGGAGCCCGATCTGAATCCTTTCCAGGTAACCTAGCACCGCCATGCCCATGGCCACTCCAGATGCAAGTGGTCTCCATTCTGCTCCTTCCCCGTGAGCTACGGTGTAGAAAGCAGGAAAGACGGCCGCAGGCAGATAGGACAGAAAACACAAATGGGTCCCAGGGTGATGATTAAGGGGACGTCATTTTGCAGCAGTCGCTTTTCAAGCCATAACAGCACATACCGAGGTAAATTTGTCTAACTTCCAACACTTAAAAAAATAAATCCCACTAATATCCTGGGATGTGGACCAGCAAAGAGGAGCAGCCTTGACATTAAAGCAGTAAGTAATGCGTTGCATTATCCCATCCAACTGCTTCCATCACAACTGGGCAAGATGGGGAACGAGAGCCTCAGACCCACCATGGCTTTGTCTCCATACATCCCTGACCCCCAAAGTAACTTAACAGGACTCTTGTTCTCAGCAGCATCCTATCAGGCTCAATGCAGCGTCTACAAGAGCTATGCCTTAACACTCAGAATTGGTGCAGCAAGTTGGTACCTTGTTCAAGCCTAATAAAGAAGTATAATACAGAGCTAATATTCAGATATAAAGTCGCACAAGATTTTTTGACTTATGGGCAGAGGAAGATAGCATCATGACACCAAATCACCCCTTTCCCCTCGCTCAGACTGTGGATCTCCGGCACCTAACGAGAGGGCAGCCCAAGTCGGATCAAATCTGCCTCCCAACCCTTCATAAATCCAAGGGTGAGGTGCTATTAATTTCCACTAATCACCCAAGATAGATGTTTTACTGCTGCCCCCACCCCCCGCACCCCTCCATCTCTCATACCATATTTTTAGCAGCTCTTGAACAAGACTAGTAAGGAGAAGAAACAAAAAAAAAACAGCACTAGTTTAATCTAAAAGTTAATCAGGCTCCTCGCAAAGCACCTGGGCAGTTGAAAGTTATGACTGCAAAACGGGTTCCCTGGGAAAGGGAATCAGTTGTCTACACTGAGGAGCTTTCCATCTGCAAATAATCAGAGAGGTGCTTGTCAAGTATAACAGCTCTATCCATCAAAGAGGAAACGCCAAGATTAAAGGACTTCCTCTGGCTCGCACCGCAAGGCAGTGGCAGGTATGTGGGAGCAGCACCCAGCCCAGGAGCCTTCTCGCTGACCCTCACGCCTGGGCAGGGAAGGGAAATCCCAGCCCCGGGCACAGCCCGCTGGGGTATAGCAAAGCAATCGAATTCAGTTTCCAAACCTGAAACTCTGCGGTTGCTAGAGACACCCCCAACTCCACCTGCACTCTCCTGAGTCCATCAGCTCCACAACGCTCAAAATCAGAGCTGCCCCCTTATAATAGCAAAAAAAACGGCCGACACCGAAAAATTGGCTTGGCTGTCTTGCATCGATTCAAGAAATGGCAGAGATTGATGCAAGCCAGCCGAGCCCATTTTTCAATTTGCGATAGCTGCTCCAAGCAGCGTGGCGTCGCAACTCTGCAATGCTTCCCCGCCGGGGCCAGATGAGGGGTTCGATCCCAGCGAGGTCTGGGGAATTTTGCTGTCATCTCTGTTAACCCGCGGCCCTGCACCTGCCTATTAATTGCTGGATCACAGACCATTGCCGACAAACGCAGCACAGTCTGTCCCAAGTGACTGTACTGGCAGGAATGTGTTGCACAGCAAGCACACGAACAGGGGAGGAAGGAGACCGAGTCCTCACTCTCGTTACTCTTGTCCAAGCCAGAAACCTCCCCAGGTCTAGTGACCTATGCAGGGGACACAATCCTAGCTTTCCACGCCCGTGCACACCTGCAATCCTGCCCCGGTTCAGCCCCAGGTTGCTCTGCTCTGCTTCCCTCCATTACTCACCGAATGCAGTTGGACTTACTGGTCTCGAGTAGAGCGTCTGCCCCATGATTAGATTAGACTTTTTTTTTTTTGGAAGCTCTCTAAAAAGCAGCCTGCCCGGTGCAAGTACTACAGTCTTTTAAAGTGATAAATCCATGAGTCGGGCTGGGGCAATATCCAGCCCGGCACGATCGCAGAGACTGCCAGGACTCAGGAAATGGCATGGGTGTCACTCGATCCACCGTAGCTCCTGTTCTTCCTGTACCCCAGGCCCGGGCACTTGTGATTCTCATAAATAAGCTCCCGTGCCAGCTCGCTTCAAGCAGGAATGCCTGTCATTCCTGAGCGCACACGGCTTCAGGCTCAGCTCAGGAAGGGGAGGAGACGGCCAGCCCCATGCTAGCTGCATCATCCAAATCATCAACACCCCTCGTTTCTAGCTTCAAGTTGAGCAGGAACGAACCCAGAAGTGGAGGGAGGGGAAGGAGGGCAGAGGGAGACTGACAGCTTGTGCGAGAGCACCGAGCATTTGCAGCGGTGCCACTCTCCCGTCAAAAAAAAAAAGCAGATGCTCCAGTATAGTCAAGCCCAAGAGAGCTGAAAGCACTCTCAGACCCAAAAGTACCCTAGAAGAGTCTCAAAAATAAAGTCAGAGCATGAGGAGGTAAAAGCATTATACATACACGCACTAAAACATTAATAATTACAGATTTTAAAGAAGTAATAAGTACAGATTCCTTGGAGTCTCGGAATAGCAGAGACCCCCCCAAGCCTGACAAAGGGTGACTGCCCAAAAGTTTGTTACAAACTTTTTTTCCAACTATTTAGTTGGTGTAATAAAAGATCACATCTGCCCAAAGAGCCTACGTCCTTAGACCAACACAGCTACAGCCAAAAACACAGATTGTTAAACGCATTTTTTCGTTGTGGTTGTTACGCTATTTATTCTTTGAAAGCACATTCAGTCCGAGTGAAACCCGGGTGAGGTTCGCACGATGCTGTGAGGTTCGAGCTATAAAACACTGGCAGGGCAGTCACGCTGCAATAAAAAAAAGCATGCTTTGGTGTTTAGAATAGATTGACTCAAATTTGCATTTTTGAAGCAAAAATATAAAACGGGCCCTTTTAAAATGATCAAGCACCAAAGCAGGCGGGCAAATCCTCACGTGTCCATATTTTATTTATTTTCAGACGTTTTAGAAGACCTAGCTTTAAAAGAAGTAGAAGCAATTCTAGAGACCCCACGAGAGCACCCCTCGGCGGCCGGGACTCAAACAGCCTCGTCAGTGAGCAAAGGCAAACGAAGCCGACCGGGAATTTGCCGTGCTCAAGGGGAGCGAAATGCAAAGAGAAGAACGGAAAACGAGGAGAAGTGCAAGTGATCCCAACCAGCATTTTCAAACACTATTGTTTCTGACAAAGCTTGAAAGTTTGCTTTAAACATATATCGCTGTATGATGGGGTGGGTCTTAAAACATGAATTAGCACCAAATCCTCTTGTGCTGCTCTTAACCCAGCTCTCTCTCTTCTGACTAATCATCTTGGGAGCTGCTCCCAATGGACCACCTAGTGCAAAAATGTCACAGCTTTATTCCCGTGCACAAAAAAAATCACCCTATCACCCTGCTCGAAGGATGCCGTGACCCAGAACAAAAGGACACTGCCTTTTTCTAAGCAAGGTCTCCACTGTTGAGCCGGACGCGCTGCTCACTTTCCTCCTTTGGACCAGTCTGCTGCAAGCCAATAGTTCAAGGCAAATATTATTGCAACTGAGATACAACCTAAAAAGGCTGTAGAGAGAAGGGGAAAGTTGACTTGGGTTGGTAAAGCAGACCTGCTACAGCTGTGCACGAATAGCACCGAGCATTTGCCACCGAAGACGGAAAAAGCACACGCTCCAGCACCCGTGCACTGACGTGACAGATGGTTTCTCAATGGAGGGAAGAGCGAGGGGCTCGCCCTGCTGCCCCTGGCCCATGCGCCTTCCCTTCTCCCCACCCAGCAGACAACGTACTACACTGTCAACAGGCATCAAGTTTGGGGAGCCAAACCTCCCCTCAAAGGTGCACAGACACGGGGGAAGAAGCAATAGTCCCCTTCTGGCCTAGGCCAACAAGGTACATGCACAATCGCCTGCGACATGCCGCCTGCTCCTTCCCCATGCACCACAGCGGGGACACGTGGGAAGGGAATCACCTGTCTCTGCATGCAACCTGTTTTCCATTAATTTGCACTGGCTGAACGGATGTCCCATGTTTTTACAGACAGTTTCAAGACAGCTTCAAAAGCAGGTGGAGCAAGGGATTTAGTGTCTTAAGGGGACAAAATTCCCCTCCGTCCCTTCCCCTATGGAGAACTGATTCAAAAAACAACTCTTGAAAGCACTGCTTCCCCCCCCACCCCCCAGCCTCAATTCCCCTGGATGCATCTCCAGACTTCTTTAAGCCTACGTCTCCGTTACTTCTTGCTGCTGAACGACGCCGAAGTATCGTGTCCTTGCCGCGCTGGGGATTTGTATTCTAGGTACCTGAAGTCTGATTCACAAAGATGCTCCGCTTCATTTTAAGAGTCGTTTGCTTTAACGCGAGCAGAAAGTCGTTTAGTTGCATAGTTGCGCGAAGGGGAGACACCAAATCCAGGGCTGCAAATTCTCTCCAAATCGGCAGATGAGTTACGTGGCCTGGGAGAAGATCTGGGAAGAGTTTCCGTGCAGCGGGTAGAGCGATGGAAAAAAGCAACGAAAGCTCAAACCTGGGATCCACTCATGCTCTCAAACCCTACGGTAGCACCTGGTCACAAGTGGAATAAAAACTGCATCTCCCAGTGAAAGGAGAAGCCAGATTTCAACTGTCACACGAGTCTTATAGGCACTCCGGTTGAGTTCGATGGGAGCTGAATTTAGTCCAACCGAACATCAGCGATGGAACAGTACAAGGAGCCGTCCTACGGCAGCATTCAACCTTCAAAACCGTTTCACTGGCACTAACTGAATCTAATGAAACGTCCCTTGAGCTTCCTGCAAAAAGTCAACTATCCAAAAAGGAACAGAACGAGTTACATCAGTGCTATTCCCCAATCTGAATGCTGTTAGCACAGGAGGAAAGTACTTATACTGAAGAATATCCTATGCCAAGGGTAAGTTTCAAAGCCAGAGTCAAACCAGAGTACGATGTGCAAGCCACCCCTTAGCAGCCACGAGGAAGCTGACAGCACTGCTTGGCAAACAAGCCCTTAATCAAAAAGCTCCTAAAACACGTGGGCTCTGTTTATGCAGTCAGGAGTTGCAAATTGGTATTTCAAGCTGCAATTGGGTGTGGAGCTTGGAGAGGTTTCAGGGACCTTATGCACAGGGAAAAAAAAGATTTCACAAGTACCTTCTATTTGAAATCAAATTGGTTTTCTGCCAAAGGCAACATTGCAAGTGACAGAGGTAGAGTCCTTGCAACAGAGATCTAGCAATGATCACCCCCCAAAAGTGGGGCAAGACACCTGACAAAACTGAGCAAATGCTCTTGGTGCTTTGATAACAACCCTTCTCCCCCCCATATCAGCCATCTACCCAACATCTTCCAATGGGAAAAACATCAACTAATTAGACTAGAAGATGCACCACATGCAAGCTGGGAAGCTGTGCTGCATGCATCAGAGCACAACATCTTTTAAGAAGAAGGGAAAAAAAGCCTGTCATGCTCCTGAAGTCTCCAAAAGAAGGATGGAGCATCAAAGAAATTACTATTAAATGAGATCTTCTAAAGCATTGGAAATGCGAAGCCATAACTATTTCATGGAGGGGATGATCTAGTCTGGGCTGGCTGTGCAGGGTGTTCGACTAGACGTGACCTCCTGAGGTCCCTTCACACCCTCATTGTCTGCTTTTCCTAGGAAATGGGGCAGGGAGGTGAAGTGAGTTGCCCAAGGTCAGGGAACCTGCAGTCCCAGAGCAGAGCATGGGTCCCCGGACGCTAGGGACAGGTGCCCCACCAAGCAGGGCAGAAGCACCAGCTTAAGACGTGTGCTTTATATAACCAAAGGACTCGAGGTTTCAAGCGTTGTTAATTCACAAATGCACTGAGCACCCAGAGTAATGCCAAAGCGAGCGTTTGGAGCCCAGCTTTGATTGCTAACAATTAGAACAAACTTATTTATAGCACTGGCCTCACCAGGGGTGGGGAGCGAGAAGGAACAGCTCACTTCAGAGAGTAGCTTTCAACAAGAAAGTTAAAGAGGAATACAATTTTACTAATTACTTCTGTAGCACTTTCCTCAGAGGAATCCCATACTTAAACCCACTTAAATTAGCCTTCGCCACACCTCCAGGCTAGGTAGGAGGGTATTACTTGGGCTTTACAGAACAGTAGAGTGAAATAAAGAGGTTCAAGACTAGAAAATGGGGTTTGCGGTTCACAGAATTTTTTTTTAAATTGGGAGTAAAACTTTTTTTCCACCCCCCCACCCCCCAAATTTCCCACGCAGCAGAAGTGACCCGAGCCCCGCAGCTACTAAAGGGAGATGTACATCAGGTCTCAAGCACGGAGCAGGGACAGGGGCAGGAATGTCAATTGTGCAGAGGCGGCAGAAGGGGCTTCCCAGGGCCACAGCCCCAGGGCGAACGGGCAGGAATCCAGCCTGGTCTCATCCAAACCCTGCGCTGGATTCAGAAGAAAAAAAAAAAAAACCTTGCTGAATCAAATGGTTTCCTTTGAAAACCTACTTCAGGCTCAAACCAGCTTTTTTCAATTCAACTTTTGTTCCAGTGGAAGTTTTCCAGGCAGCTTTAGTCAACACTAACATCTAAGGGTGCCTCTCGGTTTTGGACCTCCATCTCACGACTCCTACAGCCCCCGCGGGTCCTGCTGACCTCAGCGGCACTTGTGGACGGGCAGAAAAAGCTGGAGGTGACGGTCGGGCTCCAAAAGCGGCAGGTCTAAGCCGAGCCCAGCAACCCTGACCCGGGGTCTGGTCTACCCATGAAGACACTCGTCCCCTTATTAACAGTGAAACGTGTTCAGCCCTTGCTGGGCAGGGTGACAGCACCCCACGCACACGCTGTGCGTACAAGCCTCTCTGTTAAAAGCAAGAACCCGGCATTAATAGCTCAGTTGCTTGAGATCTGCTTCCAGAGAGCATGAGTCCGTTACTGTCCTGCCCAAGGCCCCAGAACAAACACGAGCACTCGCTGCTCCAGGACCCGGTCCTTGAGACTTCAGATGCACAATGCGAAACACGGCATTCATTTCCGGTGACTCAGACCTCCACTCCGTGATTCAGCCACAGCAGAGGTAGGGAGGATTGCCTTATCCAACCCACCTACCACTGAGCTGTGCCTCCGATACCAACAATACTGGGTGTTTCCCTTTGGAGC